GGTAAAAAGATCACAACTTATATTTATGCAAGAGCAAGTCTTATTTCTTTGTTACATAAGTTTACTAATGATGCTGATTTGATTCGACCCACAATGACTCGTTTTGCCACTTCTTATTTGACATTGGGGTGTTTGAATGACCATCGAGGTAAACTAATTAATATGTTCAATTCGAAAGAGTGGAAGACTAGCAAAATTGCAAAGAGTAAAGATGGAATCATTGTGGAAAAGATTGTGTCGGATAGGTTGTTTTGGAAAAATGTTTTGAACTATATAAGAGGTGCTTTCCCACTTATTAGAGTGTTGCGTATGGTAGATTCCGATGAGAAGCCAGCCATGGGATTTATTTATGAAGAAATGGATCGAGCAAAAGAGAAGATTCGATCAAGCTTTAATGGGATTGCTAAGAGGTAATTATCTTTCATGCTGTAATTATCTTCCACCTAGTAGTTTGAGTAGTAATTCAATTATTCTCTCTTTTTTAGATACAATCCCCTTTGGAAGATAATTGATGAAAGGTGGGATAAGCAACTTCGTAGGCCATTGCACGCTGCTGACCTTTATTTGAACCTCATATTGCGTTATGCTCCGGGATTCACGATCGATAATGAAGTTACAAATGGCTTGTATGAATGTTTGGCTAGAATGGTGGAAGATCCAAAACAAAGAGGCATAATTGATCTTCAACTTGAGGATTTCAAAGGGAAAGTTGGATCTTTTGGTAGTGAATTTGCTACATTTGCGCTTCAAACTAAAACACCAACACAATGGTGGGATTCTTATGGAAGAGGTCATGCTGAATTGCAACGGTTTGCTTTGAGAGTTCTTAGCTTGACATGTAGTTCATCGGGATGTGAAAGGAATTGGAGTGCTTTTGAAAGGGTAAAATTTTAAATTTATTGAACAATTGTATTATAAACATATATTGTGTTTTAATCATTTGTGTTATAATCATCTAGGTTCACACTAAGAAGAGGAATCACTTAAAGCAAAACACAATGAATAAGGTGGTTTTTGTGATGACTAACTCAAAATTGGGGAAAAAGAAGGAAAAGAGAAAGAGTGCTAACTATGAGGTTGATGAAATTGACTCTGAAAATGAAGGGGAAGAATGGATTGAGAATTTGGAGGATAATGAAGATGATGAAGATATTACCCTTGATGATGTTGGAGAAGATGCTAGTGGTATTGGTGATGATTTAGATGTTCCTTCCATTGTTGAAGATGATGCCTTTGAAATGGAAGAGAATGAAGGTAAGGAGGAGGATTCATATGACTATCATGATATAGGAATACATAACATTTTAGATGATTAGACTTGTTAGGTTTATATCTTGTTTGTTATATTTATGTTTTTTGAGCTACTTATTTTGAACTTGGTCTTTTGAACTTATTAAATTATGAAATGATGGTTGAGTATTGTGATTTATAGGTTATTTTTTTTATTTATTATAAATTTTTCATGTTTTCGTCCATGTGAAATTACCATTTTACCCTTTAGTAAGATCTTAGTGTCGTGCTACGATCCCTGTTTTACGATCTTTTGAAGGTCGTCCGATCCTACTTAAGATCCTGTGTTTGACTACCTTGCTCAATATGTCTCCACTAAACATCTTTCCACACAATACCAAAGTTTTATTGCAGCTGTTGATTCTGTGAAAATCCCATTATCAGTTGAAAAAGCATTGCAAAATAGAAACTGGGTCCAAGCTATGGATGAGGAAATGAGAGCACTTGAAAAAAATGGTACTTGGGAGATTATTGAAAGGCAAAGAGACAAAAAGCCGGTTGGATGCAGATGGATATATACTGTAAAGTATAAATCTGATGGCACACTTGATCGGTACAAGGCAAGACTAGTGGCAAAAGGTTATACTCAGACATATGGTATTGATTATGAGGAGACATTTGCCCCAGTGGCAAAAATGAACACTGTTCGAATTTTACTATCTCTTGCTGCTTTATGTGGATGGGAATTGCAACAGTTTGATGTTAAAAATGCATTCTTGCATGGAGACTTAGAGGAAGAAGTGTATATGGAGATTCCACGGGTGTTGACATAACAAATGAAGCTAACAAGGTATGTAAATTGAAGAAAGCCTTATATGGACTAAAGCAGTCCCCTCGGGCATGGTTTGGAAGATTCACAAAGGCAATGGTGTGTTTGGGCTATAAGCAAAGTCAAGGAGACCACACTTTATTTTTTAAACATTCACAGGAAGGAAAATTGACTGTACTTCTTGTTTATGTTGATGATATTATTGTTACAGGAGATGATTTGACTAAGAGATATTTGCTCAAAGAAAAATTATCGACAGAGTTTGAGATGAAAGACCTTGGACAACTCAAGTATTTCTTGGGAATTGAGGTAGCCTACTCAAATCAAGGCATCTTTATCTCTCAAAGGAAGTATGTACTTGATCTTTTGCAGGAAACTGGAAAACTTGGATGCAAACCTGCAAGTGTTCCCATTGAACAAAATCACAGGATAAGCTTTGAGGAGGAAAGTGACAAAGTTGAAAAGGGTCAATATTAGAGATTAGTGGGAAAATTGATTTACTTGGCACACACTAGACCATATTTAGCATATGCAGTTAGTGTGGTGAGCCAATTCATGCATGATCCGAGGGTGAGACATTTGCAGGCTGTAGACCGCGTTCTACAATATCTTAAAGCAACTCCAGGGAGAGGACTTTTGTTTAAAAGAGGTGAGAATTTAGCTATGAAGACCTACACTGATGCGGATTATGCCAACTCAGTGAGTGACAGAAGATCTACGTCAAGCTATTGTACTTTTCTGTGTGGTAACCTTGTAGCTTGGAAGAGTAAGAAGCAAAGTGTAGTTGCTCGATCAAGCGCCGAGGCATAATTTAGAGCTATGGCACTAGGAATTTGTGAACTATTGTGGATGAAACAAGTTCTAGAAGACTTGAAGATACAGTGTGAAGGCCCTATGGAATTGTTTTGTGATAATAAATCGGCTATTAGTATTGCTCATAATCCTGTTCAGCATGACAGGACTAAACACATTGAGATTGACCGATATTTTATCAAAGAGAAGTTGGATAGTGGGCTGATAACTACATCTTACGTTCCTTCTGGGCATCAACTCGCAGATGTGTTAACAAAAAGCTTACCAACAGAAAGATTTAGGAAACTTACTCGCAAGCTGGGAATGATAGATATCCATTCACCAGCTTGAGGGGGAGTGTTGTAAATATTAGACTGTAAATAGTAATTAGTAGTATTAGTAATGAGACCCATTAGTCAAAACCCATTAGGTTTTCTATTCTCTCTTATTTAAAGCATGTAGTTGCAACATTGTAAGCAGAACTTTTAATTCCATCAGTGAAATATTTTACAACACTCACAAACTAGCCTCATAACTAACTTGGAAACCAATTCCTAACCACTTTCACTTGAGTTTCATCCTAAAACCACCCCTGATCACCCTATATAAATATGCATCTTCACAATAAGTGAGTCTCTCTCACTCATTCTTTCATCATCACCATTCCATTATTTATTACCTTCAATCTCTCACTTAGTTTTTTTTTCATTTCCGCATCATTCTCCCTTCTCCTAAATTCACTCTCCTTGAAATCATCTTTCACTCTCCATTTTTTTCTTCTCTCACTCTGCATTACCATCATCACTCTCAACCTCCCTCTTCAATCTCTCTGCAACCAACCATTAACACAGTCATCACCATGAAACCTCACTCTCACCACCACAACCTCGCTGCAAATTTAAGAACCTCACACAACAATAACGAGCTCAGAGCAAACCTGACAAGAACAATTCATCAAGAACATCCAACACACTGACACTTTCAAAGCAAGAGTTCATAGAGAAGAAAAGGGCAGAAGAAGAAGAAGTAGAACGAAAGAGGAAGAAGAAGAATCATACCTGAGTATATATTCGTTTCAATTTGCGATCCGCTTCGAATCCAGATTCTCCAAAACGTTTTTCATCTCTGACAAGAACAATTCATCAAGAACACCCAACACACTGACACTTTCAAAGCAAGAGTTCATAGAGAAGAAAAGGGCAGAAGAAGAAGAAGTAAAACGAAAGAGGAAGAAGAAGAATCATACCTGAGTACATATTCGTTTACATTTGCGATCTGCTTCGAATCCAGATTCTCCAAAATGTTTTTCATCTCCGACGGGTAAGCACTTTGTCTTTTCATTTCATGTCTCAATTTAATTACTATCATGTAGATTAAGGCTTGAGGAATCAAAGCCCTAAAGGTTTGGTCTTTGATTCCTCTGATTCTGCGTTTAATTTCCAAAAGAGTAATCTAGGGTTCATGATACTTTTGCTTAGGTTTACTTGTTTGAATAGGAATTAGAAGAAAACAATGCCAGGTTAGGATATATGAGACTGAGACGGTTCCATTGACATAGAATTTGAGTGGTTTCTCCTTCCGCTGCCGCTGGAGGAGTTTCCGGCGCGACAAAGATATGTTCTAAACATGTGATGTGGATTTGAGAAAGGAAAATTTTACCTATACTCATATCTCTACACTAGAATTTTTTTTGACAAAAATATTCTCATATAAATAATTATAATTTTAAAAATTCTTTTTTTCATTTTCATTTCCACTGAAGTCTTCTGAGAGACAGATTTTGCTGCTGTATACCGGAACTCATATCATAAGTCTTCCGGTTCATAGTGTGAATACCGGAGGTGTTAGAGTAAGTCTTTCAATTCTCTTTTCAAATCTTCCGATATTCTGATTTTTTGAGTTTACGTACCGGAATTTTTAATGCAAGTCTTTCGGTATTTTAGTTTTTTTTTTCCGTTTATTTACCGGAAGTGTTAATGCAAGTCTTCCGGTATGTTTATGTTAAGATTCATACCAGAATTCATTGTTGAAGTGTTCTAGTTCAATTTGTTTTACTTTTTTTTATGTTTTTATTTTGGCAGTGATGCACACACGAGGCAAGGACGGTAGGATCCCTGATTGCGGTCTAGGACAGGGCGAATCATCGAGAATGGTTGAGGAAGAGCATACTAGTGCACAACCTATTGGATATCCAAGAGGACCGTACGATACACTTTTGGTTAAGTACGAACATCATATTGCTATACATATATGGTTTGGTGAGGTAAGTAAACGAAAATCATTTGATATTAAATAAAATCTGAATTTTTAATGTTGTATTTTATAATATATTTACTTTTAATTGTTTTTTGGAGAGAGGTACGAAGAAAGAGTTGAAGGCAACAAGACATGGGTTGAAGCTGATTAAGAGGGTTCCACTACACCTTCCTAGTGAGATGAAGGGTTGGGTATCTAGGTCTGATCTATCTTCACTCTAGAGAACCAGTTTGACGAAGATAGATACAAACCTAGTTTCCGCATTTGCGGAGAGATGACTGAAGGTGAGAAAATACTTAGAAGGGGGGGGGGGGGTTGAATAAGTATGAAGATAAAACTTAGAAATAAAAACTCAAGGATTTTTATCCTAATTCGTTGAACTCAACTACTCCAGTCCACCCTATCAAGAGTGATTTGCCTTTCTCAAACAAGGACTTAATCCACTATTTAATCAACTGATTACAATAGTAAAGCACTAAGAACAACTGTTCAAAGTCTTCTTAAGAATTACTGATCCTAGCTGGATCTTCTTAAGGTTCTCTTACAATCAAATGTAATAATAATACAAGTGTTAAAAATGCTTCTAATAAAGCTTTATCACAACTGTGATTTTTCACTTAAGCTGAAGAACAATGAAATAAATTCAGTAAATGAGTATAAGTTGTATGAGAGCTTGTAATGAATTCTTTCAAGTATTTCGTCAACTGAAGAAGATGAATGGAGTCTTGCTTTTATAGGCACAGAGGTCCATGAAGTCTTTCACGTTGAGAGCTGTGTATCAAAAAGGTCTGAGCCTTTTTGTCTTCACATCACATGACCTTTCCTAGAAGTAGAATGCACAGAAAAATCCTTTTTGTCTATGTTTTTGTGTCTAGCATAAATAAGGAAAGAGTCGTTTGGTTATTCCAACGGACATAACTTTGAATTCTTCTTCAACAAGTTTCAGCAAGAATCATCAGAGTCTGGATTGGTCAGAGTCTTCTGATGTTTATCAGAGTTTTCTGAATCAGAGTCTTTGCAGCAAGTGTGCTATCAGCGTGTAAATATTCAGAGTAGAGTTTGGGTTCAGATCCTCAGTACTGGAAGCGTTAGTACTATAAGAGTCTTCTGAAGTAACTGTGCTTGAAACTCTTCATACAGATTTCTTCATTGCTTCAGATGCTTCTGGCTTCTGATTCAGATTCTTCTATAGCTTCTGCTTCAGATCCTTATGTAGCTTCTGCTTCAGATTCTTCTATAGCTTCTGCTTCAGATCCTTCTGTAGCTTTTGGTTCAGATTCTTCTGTAGACAGAACTCAGATTCTTCTGGAGGTAGCGTTCAGAATCTTCTAACAGATGCTTTTGACGCTTCAGAGTCTTGCATATTTCTCATATTCAGATCTAATTTGCTTCTAGAGTAATATTTATTTTAACATCTGCAACAAACATTCTCAAACAAATTTTAGAGTATATAATTCTTGAATACAAAATTTCATAAGAGTTACATCAAAACATAGAGATATTATTAAGAACCAATCTGTGTTCTAACAATCTTCCCCTTTTTGATGATGACAAAAACATCAGAAATTTTGTTCAATAGAAAAGAAAATAATTATAACTCCCCATGAGATGATAAATCTCCCCCTAAATTGAATACTAATAAGGAATAGAAACTTCCCTTTTTGCATGAGTATTATTTTTAGAATCAGAGCCTGAATGTTCCAATCATTAGATCTTGCATGTTTTAGAGTCAGAGTCTGATAGATTAAATATGATCTGGGAGTCTCAGAGTTTCTTTTAAGGAATATGTCAGATTTATCAAGCGTTCTGAAACACTAAGAGTTTACGTTAGTTAAAAATTGATATGTCTGAAGTTTCATTTAGGTAGAGTTTATTTGAACAGTCAGATCCATTTTCTCCCCCTTTTTGGTCATAATCAAAAAGCAAAAAAAAACTTTTAAAAGACAAATAAAAGGAAATATAGAAAAGATAAATCATGGAGAAAACACTGAGGCATTCAGTCATTCAGAGCAAGATACAAAACATCAGAGAGAAATCAAGTACATGTTCACAAACATCAGATGCAGAGAAAAAAATATAAACTAGGTTTGTTTGGACAGAATCATCTTCAACAGGTGAGTGATCTCAGATGACGACTCTTCTTGCTTTGTCATCCACTTAGCCATGTGTTCATTCTTCTGATCTTGTTTGGACATCCATTGAGCCATGTCTTCAGATTTCTGGTCTTGCTTGGCCATCCATGACTTAATCTCAGATTGTCCAGCTTCCAGAACTGCAATCTTATCTTCAAGATCTGGATTCTCTTTCTTGATCTCAGATGAAGAAGGTGGGGTAGAGTCTTAAGCAGGAACAAAGTCAATTTCCATTGGAGATGCAGAGTCATGAGCACCAGATCCAGAGGAATGTTCCACAATAGTCATAGCCAGAGGATTTTCTTCAGAAGCAGATTCAGCAGTTACTTCTGTATCAAATACTCCAGAGGATGAAAGAACATCTTCAAGAAGCAATGGTTCAGATCTTTTAACAGTCCAGAGCAAGCTTCTAGCAGTCTCAGCAAATCTGAGCTTCGCATCATCAACACATACATTCTTTAGATTTGAGGCTACAATATTGAATATGTTGATGAAGCTATTCTAGATAGCATCAGATTCATTTGCATCCATTATTGAGAAGCACCTCTTTTGAACAGAGCCTAAATGCATCTTTATTTATTTCATAAAACTTGTAAATAAATTATCAACATTCAGCCTAGGTTTTGGTTTCAGAAGGGTTTCCAAGGTGAATGGCTTGGGTTGAGGTGAAGGTGGAATGGTAAGTTCTGGAATGATGATCAGAGGACGAGGGTAGAAAGGAATGGATGGAGAATCAGATGAAGTGATAGATTTGGATCTGATTAAAGCATTAATCAAAAATGGTTTTACATTTCATGCATAGGAAACAACATCAAATGAGGTAGAAATGTAAGGGATGAAAGCAGATTTATCAGATAAAAGAGGTTCTGATGAAACCATGTTTGGCAGTTCTTTTATATATGTTTGGAGAACAGATGGTAGAATGATGGAAAGCTTAGGTTTAAAAGGTGTGATAGAGTCAGATGGTTCAATTCTGTGATAGAAATTTTTGAACTTGAAACCAGAGGGAAGTGTAGCAGAGGGAAATGGTTTACAAGAAGCAAGAGATACAAACTCAGATGTCCTTGGCTTAGGTTTTGAAATGGTGTTGGGAATGAGAATTTCAGATGAAACAGGTGGTTCTGGGTGGTTAGTTTCAAATACTCTGAGAGAGGGAGGTGAAATGAAATCTGGATGGATATCAGATTCAGATGAATTTGAGGATGTGGTTGGGGTACAAGATGTAGAAGACACTTCAAATACAGTCTTGAGAGGTGTAACGTTAAGAACCTCTGTCTCAGGTATATTTGTTTCAAGAGGATTGGTTGGTTCTGGTTGGTTCTCAGAAGGTTTGGATGGAGGTTCAGATACAAGTGGTTCAGAGATAGGTGGTTCAGAAACAACTTGTTCAGGTGCAACAGGATCAGATGCAACTGGATCAGATTGTATGGGTTCAGATGTATCTGGTTATTGTATTTCTGGTTGGTGTTGTGGTGTAGGTTGTTCTGTTTGTTTAGGTTGAGGGGTTGGAATTTGGTTTGCTGGTGTTGTTGTTGTTGGTTCAGATGGTGGAGTACCAGAAGTTTTTAGTGGAGTAGTGGAAATAGGATCAAATGATTTTTGTGGGGAAGGAATTTTTGATGGTTCAGATTTTTGGGATGGAGCAGGAATAGATTGTTTTTGAGTGGGAGGGGGTTTTGGAATAGAACTAAATGTTGATTCATTTATAACAATTTTAGAGAAAGAAGATACAGATGATTTAGTACCTTTAGTCTTTATACGCTTGGTGGGAACAGAGGGAACTTCTCCAGAAGCTTTTCTCTTGATCTGCTTTTTGTCGTACCTTGAAAAATACGATCCTCACGATGGCCGCGGAAAAATACTGTTTGAAACAGAGTCGCCACCGAACTTTATTCATTCCAAGGATGGAATAGGAAAATATCGATAAAACCTTTAAAGAGATAAGAACATGGTCATCGCAACCAATATTCTAGGTTCGGGAGCCGGTTACGCAGAGGGAAGGTATTAGCACCCTCTACGTCCGTTGTACTCAACGGGAACCTCTTGATCGATTCGAGAGTAAAGTTAACTATGCTTGTTTGTTTTCTTCTATAGTTTCTCCTATGGGGGGAATGAGTGGTTTTAAGATAGGGTGCTCGCCAAGGATTGGGGCCCTTGTGCCTACATATCTTCACTTGTAAGAAGTGGAAAATCAGAGCATTCATAGTTCTTGGGACTACGGGAAAAAGAGGGGATTGTGCTCGCCAAGATCGTCGCAATCTTGTGCCTACGTATCTTACATTCAGAAGTGAATGAAGAATTAGAGCAGCCGTAGTTCGGCTAACTACGGTAAAAGGTTGGTGTTTGGAATGAACGAGAGTTTAGGTCGCATTCTAACTGCTAAACATTGGCTTGTCTGCTCGCTAGGGGAGGCTGAAGCACGAGTTTGTTATGCGCGGAAGAAAGGACTAAACAATGTTCTTGGCAAAAAGTGTTTTGGTTGGAAATCGCACGAGGGCGAGGAATTTAGTGTTTATCGCATTGGATTTTTTGGTTAGAGGATATATTTGAATAGGTTTAAGGTTTCGATCGCGCGGGGGCGAGAAAGAGGATTTTGGTTAGGTAATTTGATAGAGAATGACGACTATTCGATAAACGAGACGTCAGCCTCACAACCGATTAGTCGGGGAATTACTGGAATGCTGGATTTCAATGACACCTTTTTCATTCGAAAGATTCTACGAAATGTGTTTGAGAAGGTTTCAATCGCACGGAGGCGAGGAAAGCAAGTTGGGTTGAATATTTTAAGGGAGAATGACGACTACTCGATAAACGAGACGTCAGTCTCGCAATCGATTAATCGGGATATTATTGGAATGCTGGATCCCAATGATACCTTTTTCATTCAATTAATTAGGAAAGTCTATTTGAATGGACAATAACGATATGTGTCCAAATAATTAGGGCACGTGTTTTATAAACGAAAGGTCGAGCGAACCACAACCTAAAGCGTACGCCCCAAGAGTAGTTACTCAAAAATTCAAGGAGTGCGAGACTCCAAGAACTCAATTCTTTCGCAATTTAGTTAAGAAAATAATTTTGGATTTGACACATGGTTTAGAAACATACTAGGGTTTAGACTCGATCACACGAAGGCGAGGAACGAGGTTAGACGAGTTGGAAATTTAGGAGGAATGACGACTATTCGATAAACGAGACGTCGACCTCGTAACCAATTAGTCGGGATATCGTTGGAATGCTAGATCCTAACGACATCTTTTTCATTCCATTAATTATGAAATATGTTTGTTGGACAGTGAATACTTGTCCAAACAATTATGGAAATATTTTAGAAACAAAAGTTCGAGTGACGCACTATTCGAGGCGTACGCCTCAATAGTAGTCACTCTCGAATTCGAGGAATGCGCGACTCCAAGGACTCGATTATTTCGTGATTTAATTAAGAAAATAGTTTGAAAATATTAGCGTATCTGATATAGGCGCGCTAGGTATTTTTGAAAATAAGATCGGAAGGGTCACAACTCAAGGTGTGCACCTCGAGAGCGGTCGCTTAAAAATCAAAGAAGGCGAGATCGCTTAAAAATTCAAGGAAGGCGAGATCCAAGAATTCAATTGTTTTGAAATTTGTTTAAGAAAATAGTTTAATTTAATCAAGAAAATAGTTTTAATTTTCATATAAACTAATTTAATCAATTGCTTATATATAAAAAAAAATTTTGAAAAAAAAAGAAGCTAATAATAACTAATTGTTTTGAAAAAAGTTTAATGTCTTAGAAAAATATTTTAACTTTAATAATAAAGTAGTTTTTTAAGTTTAATATTTAAAATGTTATTTGGTAATAATTTAAAAATGTATTGTATTTTAAAAGAACGAATATTTAGAATTTATTATAAAATATCTAATTAATAAAAATTGTTTAAAAATATCTTTTTTTAGATATTTCAATTAAATTGAATAACAACAAGTTGAAAATCGAAAAATGAAACAACCGTAACTCAAGGGCGTGCGCCTCGAGAACCGTTGTTCAAGGACTCAAGGGATGCTAGACCCCAAGAGCCCACTACCTTCGATAAATTAATTAGAAAAATATTTGAAAAAAATAGATTGTATTAAAATATTTAAAATCTAATTAAGACTAGAAAATTTGACATTAGTGAAAAGTCATAATTAACTATTTTAATAATCTAATTAGTATACGATTGATTATCAATTAAAATAATAATCTGTTATCCCTAACCATTATTTATTCTAAGCTAAATCAAATAACTAAAAAAAAAATTCTACCAATGCCGATTTCAATTTTAGATATCTACAGCAAAAACATGTGGCTACCATAACCATGAGCATAACAGGAAACATGAGATTATTAAGACAAATGCGAATCGTTACCGACATAAACGATAATAGCTGCTGCTGAGTTGGGATGTGACGTCGTCGGAATCATTGTTGAAAACTAGTCAAGAATTCATTGAATTTGTTGCTGTTTTGAAATGGTGTCGTCATGTTATCGCAGAAGAGAGTGATGTCGCGTGATACCGAGTCCGTCAGGCTGAAAAATTGCCTATTGTTCTTTTTCCCAATACAGTTGTTGAGCCACCGACAATGATGATCAAAATGATTTACACACTTGTCGCAAACTCTACAGTGCTTGCTGTATTTGAAGACCTCAACTTCACACAAACTTTTGGACTTGAAAATCCCAGGATCTGCGGGATCTGCTACAAAGGGTGGTAAGGTAGCTGTCGTCCATGCTTCCTCATAGTTCTACTTAAGAAAAAAAAAACACAATGCAAATAATAGAGAGAAGTAAGTATTAGGGAAATGTTAAGTGTTGTTTCTGTTTCCACCGTTGTTGTCGTCATTCCAGTCTGTAACCGAAATGAGGCCCCAGATTAAACCTTGTTATGTTTTTGACCAACTCACAATCTTGGCCGTATTCTTCTGTCAAATGTAACATACGTCCTCGAAAATCCAAATGCACAAAAAATTTTGCAGGTCAAACTACACAAAGTATGGATCATGAAGACAGTAAATAAACACAACAAAATTGAACCCAGACCAACTGTACCAAAAATCCAACCTCATGAAACGAAATCATAACCTTACCAAAATACAAACACTACTTGATATGGATCTTTTCCTGGCTCAATCCCTGAAACTGATCCTGTTATGCTTCGTCGCAGCCAAAAAAAATGCTTTGAGTTTTTTTCGGTACAAACGCAATCGCCGTGTAGTCCTAGTTCGAAACCGGATCCGCACAACCATATGTACTGAAGTTCAATCCCTTAGTATCGAATATACCATTCTACTGTTAACACCAGAATAGATTTCTCCTTCACAGTCGTGCACCATGGCTCATGATCAAAACCTCCAAGCGACGAAAATAGCGAGGCATTATTGTTGATGTGAACCAAGTCGGATTCGAGCTTCTGAATCTCAAACTTATAACCTGCATCCACCAAAGAAAAACAGAGAAAAGAAAAAAATGTGGCTCTTCAAGCATCTAAATGAGCCTCCAAATAATCCAGCCGATAGACCTTATCTGCAACATTTGAAAACACCAGACGCGCACTGCACGATAATACCAGCCTAGCTTTACCAAGCTCGTCGAACCTAGCTTTATTTATTACAGTGGCAGCATCCATGCATCGAACCGACACGTTATCTGCAGTATTTCGCTTGCACACACAACCTTCAGCTAGCTGCGACAACTTGAAAACGCGGCACCGACATCGTTTAACTTTTGATGTCAAAATTCGTCTGCAGTCACAATAAGAAACTAAAATAGAAATCCATAAGCAATCCCTGTCGCAAAAGGGCTGTTGAGCTTGTGGGAGACTAGCAGGATTAAACAACAACCTAATGTCGACGCTGCAATATCTCAGTATTGTCGGGCGCTGTGAGTCACAAGGAGCTGAACTTGACAAATCAAAGTTGCACGGAAGGAATTCGTTGTGCAGTTGTCGAGACGTGGCTTATGATCTTCAGAGCTTGTTGTTGCGTATTAACGTTGAACAACTGCCGGAAATAGAGATTCTTCTGGTTGTACTGTTGGGAAGTGTTGGGATGCTTGCTCCCTGCTTACTTTCGTTGTTGTTATCACGAAATTTAGACTTTTGGAACCCTCCTTGAGATCTCCCTCTATTCTGTTTGTTCTTGAAGTTCTTGTTTGGCGATCCTTTCCAGTTAGAGTTTGCAAAGTCAGTGTTGATATTGCTATTAGGATTTTCCTGTGAATGTGAATTCCTAAATGCAGAACTTTGGGCATTGTTTGTATTATGTGGCACAAAACTATTCCCTTGTAACGGCTGAGATGGAAAAGGACCTGATACAAAACCACTCGAGTTCCCACCTGCCGGATTTGGGCCAATCTGTGGCCTGACTTGATTTCCAGGCACAACACCAAACATATGGAACAGGTTGAGAAGGGTTTTGTCTAGAAGTTTGAAAGGTGGTGGTGAACCGTGTCGGAAGGTGGTTGTTGCGGCGGGAATGGTTGAGCGGCAAAGTGGAAGAAGAAGCTGCTATGGACTGTGTTAGAAACGAAGGTATAAATTTTGCGGAAGTGTCGGCATCGCGCGAAATTCAAGCTGTTGTAGAAAAGTGTCGAAAGCTGCTTCAAGCTCTTGTTGTGTAAGCGAACTGCTGTTGTACCTACAAAGAAATTCAAAATTTGCAGCTATTTGGCATTGTGTAATGCAACTAGCAAAATTTTACCATTGAACAAGTTAAACTGCCTTTGGCTTTGACTTAATTCGCTTCACCCTTGAGTAGAGGAAAACACCAGCAAGACCAACAGCAGTACCTAAAGCATTCACATGAGAGACAGGTGTTTTGAAGATGATCACATAGCTCACAATAACCACAACACGCTTCACACAATTGCCTACGGAATGAGTAACAGGTGATACCCTATTTAATCCAGCAGATTGCAGATAAGCAAGGGTGAATTTGACACCCTCCATGAAGATAGCTGCAGGTGCTAACAAGAAGAAGGACATTATTGTTATTATAGAGAAGAGAGTTATGTTGTCCAAGGATTCCTCTTGTTTAACCATGACCTTTTTGCTAAGAACATTACGTGATTGGTTTGTCACATTGGAAGCCATTGCACTCCAAAACCCAGCCCAATTGAAAGAGGCCTCAGTAACAGAAGCCAGAGCAACTCCACCAACAATAGGCACAAGGGAACCAATCACCCATGGTGTAGGCCTCTCTCCAAGAAACATGGCAGAAAGGATAACAGAAAAGAAAGGCTCCATAGTTTTAATAGTGTGAGAAAAAGACACAGCCACCTTTCCAAGACTCATATTGGTGAAAAGGTTCCCCAAAGCATGCACAATAGCAAGTGGAAATATAGCTGCAAGCATAGCGCCATTGATCTTAGGCCTCTTGTAGAGATTAAGAGCCCACATAACTGATACAAGAACAGTCCCAACAGCAAACTGAACTACAGTAACAGTTATTGTAAAATGACATGCCTTCAACACCTGTTTATTATAGATATTGAAGAGGTACCACAATCCGAACAAGGATCCAAGTTGAAGAGTTTTGAGCAGAGAATTAGAGTCTGCAGATTCACCGGCGCTTTCGGAAGTTGCTTTAGGAGGAGAAAGATCGGGAGTGGAAAGAAGAGGAAGAGGTCGGAATTTGAAAGAAGAGGAAGGAGAAGAAAGAGACCATGATTTACGAGTGAATGAGGAAGAAAAAGAGACGCCATTGGGATTGGCGTGTGGGTGTGCGGATTGGAAGAGAAGAGGTTGAGGGGTTTCGGCGACGGGTTGAGGAAGGTGGCGAAGAAAACGGAAAAGGGTTACCCCGAAATTAGGGGCGGCCGCCATTTAGGGCTCCATGAACAGTAGTCCCTTAACTCTTAGGGTATGGTGAACAGTAGCTGACCTTATATAATCCCAAATCCTTAAATCCCTAATTCCAATTGCCACCGTGTACTCTTTCAAAATCAATCTTTCCCTTTTTTTTAATTTAATAATTCTATTTTCTATCTTACTAATTCTAACTTAAACTTAATCAATTCCTAATTCAACTCTAAACTAATTCTATTTTAATTAAAATAATTTTAAATCTATTAATAATAAAAAAAAACTAGTTAAAACTCTAATTTAATTCTAAATTTAAGTTAATTAATTAACTAATGTTAAAAATATATTATATTTACATATTATAAAAATAAATCATTAAATAAAAATAATGATAAATATATACAAAACAAATGCCACATGGCATGCTCTTATTGGGCTAAAAAGCGAAAATGCATGTTTTTGCTGAAAAATACGCTACGCTGTATAAGCGAGGTAAATTAAAAACAAAGTCGGGCAAATGAAAATTTTGAAAAAAGGTAGGACAAATTTGGGGTATGACAGATGCCCCTATCTAATTGCCTTGAACCTGAGAGAATGAACAACTGCATGGCGTTCATTTTCAGGGTGGAAGTCAATTTAAAGACCCCGAAATTTGTCCGACAAGCAAGTAAAAATGCAAAGAGATGGGATATACCAGAACGGGATGGCAGGATGCAAAAATAGATGAACGAGATAACCTGATATTCCCTGGGTGGTTGAAGCAGTCCCTTATCCAATAAGGTTCTTCACGGTACCAGAGTGGTATAAATGATCCTCTTTGGGTGGTCGAAGCAGTGCCTTATCCATTAAGGCTCTTCGACGATACCAAAGCAGTATCTCGAGCAAAACTTGAGATTCTTCGGGTGGTCGAAGCAACACCTTATCCATTAAGGCTCTTCGAAGATAGAAAAGCAGTATCTCGAGCAAAAGTTGAGATTCTTCGGTTGGTCGAAGCAGCACCTTATCCATTAAGGCTCTTCGATGATACCAAAGCAGTATCTCCGATTAAAACTTGAGATTCTTCGGGTGGTCGAAGCAGTACCTTATCCATTAAGGCTCTTCGATGATACCAAAGCGGTATCTCGAACAAAACTTGAGATTCTTCGGGTGGTCGAAGTAGTACCTTATCCATTAAGGCTCTTCGATGATACCAAAGCAATATCTCAAACAAAACTTGAGATTCTTCGGGTGGTCGAAGCAGTACCTTATCCATTAAGGCTCTTCAATGATACCAAAGCAGTATCTCGAACACAACTTGAGATTCTTCGGGTGGTCGAAGCAGTACCTTATCCATTAAGGCTCTTCGATGATACCAAAGCAGTATCTCGAGCAAAACTGGAGATTCTTCGGGTGGTCGAAGCAGTACCTTATCCATTAAGGCTCTTCGATGATACCAAAGCGGTATCTCGAACAAAACTTGAGATTCTTCGGGTGGTCGAAGCAGTACCTTATCCATTAAGGTTCTTCGATGATACCAAAGCAGTATCTCGAACAAAACTTGAGATTCTTCGGGTGGTCGAAGCAGTACCTTATCCATTAAGGCTCTTCGATGATACCAAAGCAGTATCTCGAACAAAACTTGAGATTCTTCGGGTGGTCGAAGCAGTACCTTATCCATTAAGGCTCTTCGATGATACCAAAGCAGTATCTCGAGCAAAACTGGAGATTCTTCGGGTGGTCGAAGCAGTACCTTATCCATTAAGGCTCTTCGATGATACCAAAGCAGTATCTCGAACAAAACTGGAGATTCTTCGGGTGGTCGAAGCAGTACCTTATCCATTAAGGCTCTTCGATGATAGCAAAGCAGTATCTCGATTAACTTGAGATTCTTCGGGTGGTCGAAGCAGTACCTTATCCATTAAGGCTCTTCGATGATACCAAAGCAGTATCTCGAGCAAAACCTGAGATTCTTCGGGTGGTCAAAGCAGTACCTTATCCATTAAGGCTCTTCGATGATACCAAAGCAGTATCTCGAACAAAACTTGAGATTCTTCGGGTGGTCGAAGCAGTACCTTATCCATTAAGGCTCTTCGATGATACCAAAGCAGTATCTCGAACACAACTTGAGATTCTTCGGGTGGTCGAAACAGTACGTTATCCATTAAGGCTCTTCGATGATACCAAAGCAGTATCTCGAGCAAAACTGGAGATTCTTCGGGTGGTCGAAGCAGTACCTTATCCATTAAGGCTCTTCGATGATAGCAAAGCAGTATCTCGAACAAAACTTGAGATTCTTCTGGTGGTCGAAGCAGTACCTTATCCATTAAGGCTCTTCGATGATACCAAAGCAGTATCTCGAACAAAACTTGAGATTCTTTGGGTGGTCGAAGTAGTACCTTATCCATTAAGGCTCTTTGATGATACCAAAGCAATATCTCGAACATAACTTGAGATTCTTCGGGTGGTCGAAGCAGTACCTTATCCATTAAGGCTCTTCGATGATACCAAAGAAGTATCTCGAACAAAACTTGTGATTCTTCGGGTGGTCGAAGCAGTACCTTATCCATTAAGGCTCTTCGATGATACCAAAGTAGTATCTCGAGTGATGATTTTGCTGAGGAATAGTTGAGCTAAAATTCCTATTTAAAGGGACAGCGTTGTCCAAACTTTGCAGGGGAAAAATCTTTCAGCAAACTCTCTAAGATGACCTCTGCTTGGGGAGCCATCAGAGTAATAGTTGCTGAGGATTATCATCATCAACTGCATGGTTGAAGAATGGCTTGCTGGGGAGTAGAATTCCCTGAACTCGTGGGGTATTAACTCTTTTCAGAGTCATACTGCCAACTTCATTAGAGGACTGACCAAGATGCTCGCGAACTGATCCGGGATCCTGCCATATTGCTATGCAATGCAATGTTTTATGATGCCCAAACATGCAACTAAGGTGCAACTGCTAGGGGGTGCACGATGCGAATGCGAAGGATATGTTAATGCTTGATATGATTATGATATGAGGTTGTATGTCGTGCTTATGATAATGCAGCGACCAGGTATGCTGGGGATGAAATCCTGTCGGGGACATCACCAGGGGCTGAATTTGGTAGTTGCCAAAAGGTTTGGATTTTGGTTATTGAGGATGCTAACGAAGGTGGACTTTTAGTGGTTGCCAATGAAGACTGGACTTTTAGGGTGAATTTAAGGTGCCAATTGGATTAGACTTTTAGGATGATTTGCCAGACGAGAACTGGACTTTGAAGGATTTGTTTCGGTTACAAAGCTCTGACAGGTACCAAGTCTAGGCCGTGGGGGTGGAACCCAACGACAGAGAGGCTTTTTCAGGAGGTTAAGGTTATTTGGTGGGGTGATGGCATGATTCCCCGACACTCAAAACTTGCTTGAGTAACTGCCCCAATGTTATTCAACTTGCCCCAGTTTGGGTCTATGAAGGAGTTTTCCTTGAACGAAAATTGGAAGCAATCATACCATGAGACGAACTCGAGATGGCTTGCCCCAGCATTCCAAGTCGTGAAAGGAAGTTAGAAACAATTGTACCATGAGATGAACTCGAGATGGCTTGTTCCAAAACTCCAAGTCATGAAAGGAATTCGGACGCAGATATACCATGAGATGATCTCGAGATGGTTTGTTGCAAATTTTAGTCAGGAAAGGGTTTTGACCTTGATTAACTGACCCTTGGGGTAATTGGCTTCAAATTATTCTTGAGGTAGTCTGCTTCAGAATGAGCGTTGAAGCGACATGACTTGTGCTGGTTGAGCGTTGGAGGGACTCTCCTTTAATCAAACGAAACTCTGAGTAGCCTGCTCCTTGTTGGATTCTTTGCAGAAGTGGTATACTCGTTCTGGTAAGAACCTAGCTTCTAGCTGATATATCATGACAGCTTACAAACGTTGAGCGTAGCGACTCATCCAGAGCATTTTGACAGTGCGAGCGTAGCGACTTAACTAACGCGTGTTAGTCGTACGAGCGTAGCGATTTAACCAATGCATATGGATTGCGTGAGCATAGCGACTTAACCAATGCGTTTGGATTGCGCGAGCGCAAAGACTTAACCAATGCGTATTAGTTGTGCTTTTGCTCTACCCCAAGGCCTTTGAAGTTTGTTGACCTCAACCATCAGCTAGTTTGCCCCAAGTTCAACCAGTGTGCCGGGTGTTCGATGGACTTTCTTCTGGGATGAGAACTTTGGCGATGATTATACCAAGATATGGCTTGAACCCATTTGCCCCTAGTGTCTGAACCTTGCAGTGGTCTGCCCCGGTTTAAACCTCAGAAGGACTTGCCCCAGATTCGTAGGGTTAGGGGAAATTCTTAATTCAGGTCAACACCAATGAGTGATCAAGTTCCGCTTTGATTGTTCTTTTGTTGGAATTTCCATAATGCCAAGTACTGACTTGCAGTTAAAAGTGTTCATTCAAAAATGGTAATTTTAATGCGACATTCATGAAAGTCATGAAAATATCATTTATTGGGAATGATGTGAAAATGTGTGACGAGTGGACTGTTAATCCAAACGCAATGCTGATTTAATTGGTGTGAAAGATATAGCAAGAATATGACACCAATGCATAAGATTAGCAAATATGTAGGAGTCAGTTTATGCAACCTTGCTGTAGTTATGCTTTCAGAATAAACCCCGCCTCAATTAGGTCTTTTGAGGGTTGTAACACGGTCTGGTTCACAGTTATAGAAATAAAGGATATAAGGCTCAAAGTATGATTTGGTACCCACCCCTTCTTCGTGATAATCTTCATACCTACGTTCAGTTAATTCTGCACATGTTTTACCTTGACGGTGTAAAACTTGATGATTCAAGGTTTGCTCAAAATGGCAGCCACTTTATTTTGATTTTGATGGATGTCAGTGACCCTTTGACTTAGGTGGCCACTGAATCTTATTTTATTTTTGTTGAGGGTTTGAGGACCTCTTTTGGTTTTGTTTTTGATCCCTAACTTTTGCATGGACTGACTTTGCTTGTCAGCTCCATCGGGATTGCCTTGATTTTTGCCTAAGTCTCCTTTTGA